GGGGTGTGCATTTGTAGAGGGCAAACTATATAGAGCTCTTATGAGCTGGGACCCAACCATGCTGTGCATTTAGAGAGGGTGTGCACTTATAGAGGGTGCATTTAGGGGGTTTGTCTTTGTTATGGTTAGTGGAGCTCAAAATTGTTGTATAATTTTATTACCTATGATTAAGAATAACGAGTTTAATTCATAAGATATTCATCCGCTTTTGGAATTCATTACTTTTTTATCGCTATTTTAAAGCTAGTTCCGTAATTGATGTAAAACTCAATTAAGATTTTAAAATTTATGTTTCTATTTTATATTTGACAGTTAACGTTAAAGATTTTCTGTGATTCGACGTACGTATATAGGAAGTTTTTTTTTATTTACTGTAATTATTGAAAAAAATTCATCAAAGTTTGACATTTGATAAAAGATGTTATCAGGAAAAGCCATATATAAAACTGTGTCTAGCACACATTATATAGTATTAAACGTATACATTAGTTGAAAAGCACAAGAAATTTGGGTAAGGCTGCCTAAAATTAAAAATTAAGATTCAATAAAAATCGAGAGAAAATAGTTTCGCCCGAAACACTATAAATGACTGAAACTAAAGATAAATAATTACCTCGTCTCTTCTAACGTTCAAAATATCACTTGACTCTTGTGCAAGGACGTCCACAATGAACATTGCTTTCACTTGCCTGATACCACAATATCCATGCGACACCGATGGATCTCTAGCAAACCACATTCCTAAGAATTCATAATTGATTATTTATTGAGATCATAAACCCAAAAAGAACATTGATGTACGTACATACCTCCTCCATTTCCGGAATAAACACATCTATTCCCTTCACGTATTATTCCACATACTCCACAATTACTGATACAAGATGGTTTCAGCGATGAAATAAGTCTCATAGGGTCGCAGGATGTCTTTGTTCCATGAAACATTTGATGAGTAATTCTATTGGCTGGATAAGTAGATTTAGTCATTTCCTTTTTCAACTCAAGATGCTTGTCAACAATGGCTTTTGGCATTTGCAATCTAAATATTGCTCTGATTGTCGAGTTTGGCAGACGTTGATTAAATCTTTTATATGTATTATCATAATCGATTTGATTCGGATAGAGAATGGTTAATTTAGTTTGACTATCCATTGGTTGAACAAAAAAAGAGGTTCGGTTCGATTTGCCAGATCAATTAAGTTTTCAATTATATGAAATTAGGACTCAAACCTAGTTGTGAATGTAGAAAATTTCAAATAGCCTTATTTATATTACCTTTTATTTCAATGAAAAAATAATAAATCATATAATATAATCTGTTTATCATTTAAATTCCTTATTTTGGCGTTATCGTTATCGTCACATTCCAAAATTCTGTAATGAGAATATGGTTCTTTTTTCGGTCACAAGTTTGGGTAACGGCAGCGTGGGCAAATATGCATGAATTGGAAGTGGTGCCGAGTGAATGATATAATCATTATACATGTAGTATGGGAATGTTTTTTCAATTAACAAAATATATCCGCATCAATTAGGAATATCATATCGATATGTAAACTACAATTACTTAACTGTCCCCCATTATCATCAAACGCATCTATTATATTAGTGTTTTACTCTATTGCTATTGCCTTGCTCCAAACCAAGCAACAAAAATGGAGCGATGTAGCAGGGATAATTAGTAAAACATCGTTACATCGAAAATTTAGTATTAACATTAGAAGCGTGAATAATATTGAATAAATTAGTAGTGAAAAATAATTTTAGCAATTGATCAAAAGTTCTCACGTTGTGAATGTATATATCGATATGATCATTATCATTATGTAACGAATCATCCCGCAATCGTCATAGATTTTTTATTAGGCGGAAGCATCCCCTGCTGGTCGGGGGCTCTGAACAATCCACCTTCACGTCGAGCAAGAGTCTGCCTGAAGGAAATGGCGTTGAGATCTTCATGAGACTTTTGCTGTTTGCTTGAAAAAAGTGTCGACAGTAAGATCATTATTATTATTGTTATTTCGGTATCGTTACATGTACTTCCTTTGATGATCACAACAAAATAAATGCTATTAGGGATAGGAATCGATTCTCTAATTTAGAATCGATAATCTGAGAATCGATTAATTTTGTAGAATCGATTAAAATTTAAAATTTGAGAATCGATTTCAAAGATAAAATCGATTAATAACGATAATGTATAACGATAAATCGTGTATCGGTATGTGAATAGATGCAATTTAAAAATCATGATTTTCACTTGCAAATGTTATAGCGCACGACAAACTACGTACGTACTCTGTCATTCAACAAAAATGTTAATATTGATAATAGCCAAGAAACTATTGCCAATACATAGTCTAATAACTGATAGTGATACTAATACCAAATATAGCTGATATTTATGAAACAACAGAAATACATGTACATGTAATGAAACGTCATCATCATCGTGCTTAAGAATCGATTTTGGGTTGAGAATCGATTCCTATCCCTATACTCAATTATTTCACAACTTGCAAATATTTAACAATTCCTGCCACATCAGTTCCATCTGAATGTCTATTTTCAGATGTGGGAAACTTAATTACACCTGAATGAAATCGATTAAATAGCCATT